GAGGGGCACGTGAGGCTAGAGGAGGGTCACTTGAGACTACTGGGCAATCCTCACAGTCTAGGAAGATCCAACAGTATAGGCCTGGAGCATAGTTTCTACTATAACCTTGAGCTACAATCTTACACCTGTGTGCTTCATCCATCATGGCCCTTGTTCATCTCTTCTGGGGACTCGTCCGTCCGTAGGAGGACCTGTCCTTCTAGAATAAAAGCCTTCACGGGGCTGGAGAGATGGCTCAGCAGTTAAGAACACTGACTGTTCTTGCAGAAGACCCAGGTTCAAATCCCAGCACCCACATGGCAGCTAATTCTAGTTCCAGGGAATCTGACAGCCTCTTTTGTCCTCCAAGGACACTGCATGACATGGGTGCATTTACCTATGTGCAGGCAATACACGAATACACATAAAATAAAAATAATATTAAAAAAAAAGAATAAAAGCTTTCATGTGCTGTTTCCTTCTCTTGTGGACTGATAAATCCTGCGGATTCTGTCCCCAAAAGTTATCTGCAGATCTTATCATACACATCACTGTTAAAGACCATTCTCTGAGCTCCTGTCTAGACCAAACCCCCTTCCCCAATTATACATTTTCATAGCAGCAAGTGGTACATTCATCTTCCTGGCACTTCCTACAGATGAAATGACAGGTGATGTGTAACCATTTCCCTCATTTATGCCTCTCTCCCACTGACTTTCTTTTCTCTAAAGACATAGCCTGTATCTTATTCACCATCCAATCCCTAATGCTTGACCCTTGAAAAGAATTTTTTTGGTAACTGAGATATAATTCATATACCATAAACCCCCACTCTTTAAAAAAATGTACAAGTCAGTGTATGTTGCAGCATATTCACAAAGCTGTTTACTAATCTGTACTAATTGCCAAACACTCTCATCCCTCCAAGAAGCACCATATGCATTAACTATCACTCCCCACTTTCCCTTCCATTTTATGACAACCACTAATCTACTTTCTAGCTACCTGGATTTGCCTCTTTAGGGCATTCCATGTAAATGCAATCATATTTGGTCTCTGAGTCTGGCTTCTTTCACTTAGCATAACGTTTTCAGGCCCATATCAGAACTTCATTCCTTCTTACAGCCAGATAAATACTACACTGCATGAGAATTCTGCCTTTTGTCTCTTTATAAGTTGATGGATAGTCCCCACTTTTTGGCTGTTATGAATAATATGGCTCTGAACCTCTGTGTACAAGTTTTTGTGTTGACATATGTTCTCAGTTCTCTTGGGTATAGATGTAGGCAAGGAAATGCTGGGTTACAATGGTGAGTCTGTTTCAGTATTTGAGGAACTGCCAAATAGCTTTCCCAACTGGCTGAACCATTTTATTTACATTCTTCATGTAAAGTTTGTAGTGCATATTTGTTAGGCTAAAAATTTCTTGCACAATTAATTGAATCAGGTGTTATTCCTTTCAGTACATAGATAAGACGAGCAAGGCTTAGGAGATAAAATGACTTGGGCAGAATTTCACAGCCCATCGGCTCCACAGCCAGGGTTTGGACTTGGCCTGACTCCTGACACAGTGTTCTCTTGTCCACAGAGTTGTAATATGGACTCTAGCTAGAAATACACATGAGATCCAGAGTCATAAGTGCTATATTTATACTATGCACACTGACAAGAAAACAGGATATAGAAAAGAGGCTTACTTTTGGAGACAGGGTCAGAAAGAGGCTGATACCTCTTGATTCTGATGTGGAAGTATATCTTAGTTTCCCCTATATGTTCCTCACTGTTTATTGTTGTTTCTTTCTCGGTCTCTCTCTTTTTTGTGGTGAGACAGGGTCTTGCTATGTAGCCCTGGCTGGCCTAGAATTCACCGTGTAGACCAAACTGGTCTTGCACTTTTGTGCCAATCTTTCTGACTTGTTCTGCCTGACCACGTGTATCCCCTTCATTGGAAACAAAACCAGAAGAGGAAAAAAAAACCCAATAAAATCTAGGTATTCTTCCTTGCTGGCCTCTCAGCCCTGGGAGGTCTTGGTCTCTTTTATTCAACAAATGTTAGCCACTTATTGCATGCCAAGTCTGTGATAGGCAGCAGGCAAATTGCCTACAACATGGCTGTTTTTGCACCCAAGGAGCTGGTAATCCCTGGAATGGGGAAAAGGAGGAAGGAATGAAACTGATCATGCTCAATCAGCAGGGGGCTTCACTAGCAGTCAGAGCAGTGTTTGGGGAAGGATGTGAGCAAGGCCCCTAACTCAGCAGGAGACCAGGCAGCTTCCAGACAAAGGTGAAACTTGAGCAGTGTTGTAAGGATGAGAGGGGATGTGAAACGAAGGGACTCTGTCTGGGAACAGCAGGTGCAAAAACAGGAAGGTGTGAAACCAGCTGGCCCCACTCTTCATTGCACATCTGCTCAGTGAGGGCTCTTAGATGCTTGGGACACACAAACAGTGAACACAGCAAAGGCCCCTGCTCCACAGAGTTCACGAGAGGAAGATGGAAACATCAGATGGCATGATGTAGGGCAAGCTGTCCAATCATAGGGGTTCATGGACACTAGAGGGGCCCGTGAACCCAGTGAAATTTCAGTGTGAATGTGTGTGCTTATGTTTATGCAGCATTTTCATAAACAGTGTATTTTTTATTTCACTCAAGAGGAAGCATGACCCTCTTGAGTTAGAACTTTGGGACGGGAGAGATGGCTCAGCAGTTAAGAGCACTGGCTGCTCTCAGAGGACCCAGATTTGGTTCCCTCCCAGCACACACATGACACTTACATACTTGCAGGCAAAACATTCATTCACATAAGATAGAAATAAATTTGGGGCTGGAGAGGTGGCTCAGATGCTAAGAGCACTGGCTGCTCTAGCGGAGGACCTGGGTTCCGTTCCCAGCAGTCACAACTGTCTGTAACTCCAGTTCCAGAGGAATCTGACACCTTCTGACCTCCGCAGACATTGCACTTAGATGCTTGAGGCGAGGGGTCTGGGTGTCCATATTGGTTGTGCGTGTACACCTGTTTGTGTGTTTCTAAGATGGAATCCATATATATGCTAGGCAAGAGCTCTACCACTCAACCATACCCCTCAGCCAGTTCTGCATCTTAAGAGGCAAAAGCATCAAAACCTGACACTGGCTTTTGCCAGAGAACTTCCTGCTCCTTTCCACAACCAAGCTTTTGCTTAGCTGGTCTTTCACCTGGTCTAGCAGCAAATCTTGTTTACTCCCTGTCTTAGTTTGTTCTTCATCACTGTGACAAAATACTCTGACCACTACCAACTTGGGGAGGAAAGGGTTTATTTAGCTTACATATCCCAGGTCACAGTTCATCCGGGAGCCCAAGGTAGGAACTCAGGGCAGGAACCTGGAGGCAGGAGCTGGAGCACAGGCCACTGAGAAACACCGCTTACTGGCTTGCTCCCCTAGCCTGTGCACAACAAGTGCTTTCTTATATGCCCCACCTGCCCAGGGGTGGTACCACCCACAGTGGGCTGGGTCCTCCCACATCACTCATCAAGAAGACGCCCCTCAGACATGGCCACAGGCCAGTCCAATAGAGGCAATTTCCCAATTGCTCCCTCAACCCAGGTGTGTCAAGTTGACACTAAAGTTATCCAGCACACTCCCTCTGTGAAAATTTGTGAGGTTTGGAGGACACCATGGTATTCTGAGGATTTAACAAGTGTTTTGGGGAAAGTATCCAGCATATCGTAGCCCCTTGGCAGTGTTAGTTCCTTTCTTGGTATGGTGGCTTAGCTGCTCAGAGGTTTCTTCTTATGTGGGGCTTTCCTAGAATAGTCTGTGTACTTTTTCAGGCTCCTTAAGAGTGAATACCATCTGCATTACTCTCTCACTTAATGTTATTATTATTATTAGAGACAGGGTTTCATGTAGTCCAGGCTAGCCTCTAACTTCCTATGTTGTAGAGGATGACCTTGAACCTCTGATCCCCTTGCTTTTACCTCCCAAGTGTTGGGATTATAAAAATGCACCACCATGCCTGGTTTATGCTGTGCTAGAGATTGAACCCAGGGCCTCAGGCATGCTAGGCAGCACTTTACCAGATGAGCCACATCCTCCACCCCACTTTTTCATTCTTTTCTATTTTTTAAAAATTATTATATTATTTTTATTTTATGAGTGTATTGTCAGCATGTATGTGAGTGCACCTGTGTCGTGCAATGCCACGGAGGTCAGAAGAGGGCTTCCCTGGAACTGGAGTTAAGGACGGTTCGTAGCCACCATGTGGGTGCTGGGAATTGAACCGGGGTCCTCTGCAAGAGCAGTCAGTGTTCTTAACTGCTGAGCCATCTCTCCAGACCCATTCTTTTGTATTTTAGAGACTTACTTTTTTTACTTTAAATTATGTGTATGTGTGTGTTTGTGTGTATGCATGTGAGTGCAGGTGCCCACGAAGGTCACAAGCAAGGGATTCTCCCTAGAACTGGAGTTACAGGTGCAGGATGTGGTGGGTTCTCTGAAGGAGCACTATGTGCTGTTAACCACTGAGCCATCTCTCCAGCCCTTCTTTCACTCTAAACACACTGCATTATACCCACAGTTAAACCCTTGGCACAACTATCTCCTTAATCTGCACCATTGTCTATATACTGACAACCTTCCTGTGTTACAGATGAAGAAAGTGAGACCCGGGAGGCTGAGGGAAATCAAGAGCTCAGAAGCATCTGATCACCAGGTCTTGTGAAATAATAGTGACAACAGCAGCAACAATTAACATTTATTTTACTTACCGTGCCAAGTGTTGTATCCAGTATTATAACTACACTACTCAATCTCCAATCCCTTCCTGGCAGGTAGGCAAATGCTATTGCTATCCAAAATTTAGAGAAGAAAACGGAAGCTCAAAGAGGTTGAGGTGCCAAAGGTAACCCAAACTAGTCAGTTTCAAAGTCCAGACTTGGACTTCAAACTCCAAAGAGTTCAGAAAACACTCCTTTTCAAATGCACTGTTCAAAACCGCACCCAAGCCCGCCCAGCATCCAGTCTGCTCCAGCCAAGTCTTTGGTTGTTTTGACCAAGGATGCAGAGAGTGCTGCCAGGAGTTAGGCTAGTGGGTCAACAGAGAAGGTGGGGGTCGAGAGTAGCAATGTAGGTACTGGGGCGTGTGCTGGGGTAGAAGTATCTGGGGACCAATAGGCGAGTCACGTGCGCATGAAACTCGACCTAGGGGGAGGGGAAGTGAAAGGAACCCCCGCCCCCAACCTTGGGGCGCAGCTCCCGACGCCTAAATACAGCTATCAAATCGTCGGATCGCGTAGTCCCTGCCCCGCTTCACCGATCTGTGGCGCCCGTCTGGTTCCCATCTCCGCCGCTTCTTTCGAGGGGACAGAGACTGCGGCGAGACCACCCGGCTGTGGAGCTGAAGCTCCAAGGCCGGCTGCATCCTAGAAGCGGAGAAGACTCCAGTGTGTGTGCAGGAGACTGGGATCCCGGGACCCCGAACCCGGGTAGTGTGGACGCCGGGAGACGGCTCTGCACTGCCCCGGGCGCTCTCGGCTGCAGGAAGCGTGCTTGCTCTGGACCCGAGGTGAGCAGTGGCAGGGTTGGGGGTCCTCGGCTGCGCCCCCGAGAGCCACCCGGACCCGCTCCCAGCCACAGTCGCGGGTCCCCACGAAGCACCGGTCGCCTGAGCCCCTGGATCCCGCCGGACGCTGTCACCGGATCGTGTCCCTCCCGCCTCTGGACCCCTCCTTTTCAGCTCAGCTCTTCCTCCCGGTCCCTTCTTACAGCACTTCCTCTGTTGAGAGCCACGCTTGTCAGCTTCGGAACCGACCTGGGGAGCCTTAATCGAAAAACCTCATTTCCCAGATGAGGGGCTGGGACCCCCTGGAGGAGGGGCTCGCGCCTCCTTTCTTTTTTGCTCTTACGGTCTGTCTCTTAGCCCCCCCCCTCCCCCGTCCCGCTCTCGGTCCCCGGCTGCCCGCTTCCTCATTGCCTCCCTTGGGTGGCCCGGGCGAGCTCCGGCTTCTTCGCTCACTCTGGTAAACACACCCGCCCGTCCGCCAGCCCATCCGCCACCAATGTCCTTATGAAGTTGGCGGCCACCGGACTTCCTGCCCGAGCCTGAGCCCCCTCCCTGGGACTGCGGGGCTGGCGGGTTCCCGAGGGGCGGCGGAGTGAGGGGTGCGCGGGAGTCTCAGGGCCCGCCCAGGGTCTCCCTCCACGTGGCAGCTGTGGGATTGGCCCATGACACTGTAGGGGACATGGGTCGCCGGCTGTGGAAAGAGGGAGGAGTTTTTCTTTGGAAAGGAGGCGTAGAATGAAAGGCGCATCAAGAAAGAGGGACTCGGGCTAGCCTCAGACTTCTCTTCCTCCTGCCGGCTTCTGAGTGTCCTATCTGGTACAAGAGACTGGCTGGCCATGGGCTGGCAGTGGCTTCAGAGCATATTCTGCCCCTTGCTGACTTTGGGGACTTGGGGTTCCCAGAAGCGAGCTCTCTGCGTGTTACCCTGGGTAGGAGAGCCCGGCAGCGCGCCAGAAAGCTGCAGCGTGCAGACGGGACCTTTCTTGTTTCTGATAGTGCCTGGCGGCAAGTGCCGCGTGCGCCCCTGGCACTGCCAGAGCGCGCGGAGCCAGCTTGGCAACACCGGCTGGGGAAGCCCAGGGCTCTATGGAACCTCCATGAAGGCTACATCTTGGGTTGGCCCCGGGGGTCTCAGGAGCCACGGTGATGGAATATCCTTCCCAAGGGCCTTTGGGAAGCCCTTCTTCGCTCAGCGCTCTGTTTCTCTGCAGGGTCTCCGCCAGCATGGCCCCCACGCTGAAGCAGGCGTACCGCAGGCGCTGGTGGATGGCCTGCACCGCCGTGCTGGAGAACCTCTTCTTCTCTGCGGTGCTCCTGGGCTGGGGCTCCCTGCTGATCATGCTCAAGAAGGAGGGCTTCTATTCCAGCCTGTGTCCAGGTATACAGGGGAAGGGGGAGGAGGGGCTGGGGGGTGAGGACTGTGAGGGAAGGCAGAGGGAGGAGGTGGAATTTGGAAAATAGGGGTATGTGGTCAGGCAGAGAGAAAGCAGGCCTGCTCAAGATGGCAGGAACACTGGGCGACAGCTTCACTTCTTGACCTCTTCAAATTTAATGTGTCCACTCCATGAGGATCGTCTAATTCAGTGGCCACTGAATGCTGGATCTCCTGCAGGGCGTCCTATCCTGGGACTGATAGCTGCTGACTGCCTCCGGTCTAGAGCTCGAGGCAGACTCTTAGAAATGCTGCAGGTAGCTGGATAAGGAATCCCCCACCCCACCTCCATCCCCACATTGAACTCAAGTCTCTTTTGCGTGCTAGCAAGCATTGGGTCGCATCACCAGCATCCTAGGTCGTTATTAACAGGGCTGGGGTAAGGCTGAATAAAATCAGGCAGCTCCACACGAAGAGGAGCGTGAGTAAAGGACCTGCACCCCTGGCCTTCTCAGGACTTTGGAGTCCCGAGGTTTTCAAATCACCCATTTGCACAAAGTTAGCTGTCTTATTTCCTCTAGGATGCACATTTGTAGAGGGTCTCTATTTTCCACTTCTATCATTTTAGTCTACTGTAAATGGGCCTGAACTAAGAGAGGGAATTCAAAACTCCTTGGGAGCAGAGACTATAGTCATAGCATAGGTGGTCTGCAGCTGTCCCTGGGGTGGGGAAACTCCTCTTAGTGGCTGGGACTTGATGGAGCTCTTTCTTTTCTGGGAAGGAAAGTGCTGTGCTGACAAACTCAGCTGAGGAGCTGAGTGGATGTGCAGTTTGGTGCCTCTGCCTCCTGTTCCTTTCCTCACCTCCATGTTGTGGAGCAAGCATGGAACGAAAGCCAATTTGGATTTTAATTCCGGTTTCCACCTCATTTTACCAGCTGGGCGACATCAGCGAGTTCCTTAAATGGAGCATCTGTTACCTAGGAACAATAGTAATGTCTGTCCCATGGGATGGCTGTGAGACTCAGCAATATTTGACAAATGTAAGTGCCCTTCTGGTTTCTCCTGGCTCCTCAACTCCTTGCCTCACAGCATGTACTGTGGCTATGAGAGAACACCATTTCCTAGGAGGTGGTGGTGGGCAGGTCTTCATATCTGGTCTCAGCTGCAGCAACAGCTCCACCCTGGAGGTTGCCCCACCCATGCCAGGTTATCTCTAAGGAAGCAATGGGTTTCACCCAGAGGTGGCACCCTGCCCATGTGTCTGGTACCGGTTACATGGGCTGGGGCAGGAGGAGATGGTGTTAGCAGCAGACTTAGGAAGGTAGGGTGGATCCCTTGAGTAGGAGGCCTGAGATGGCATGATAGACACTACAGAGTGACTGAGAGGACCAAGTGGGGGCCCACCCATATGACATCCAAGTCCCCCCTGAGTTTCCCTTGGAGAAGGACCGTCCATTTGTTGCCTGGTGGCCTTGATGCCTGCCATGGTCCATCCAGGGATTTCTTTCTATGCCTGAGAGTCGTGGGATTCACTTAATTATCTTCATTCAAGATTAATTTACCTTGTACATTTTGATGATGTTTGATAAGTTTATATACTCCAGTAACCATGACAACAGCCAATATTTACATTTCTATTACCCCGCCCCCCCCACACTCCTACTTCTCTTTTAAGGGCCTGTCTCTCTACC